TTGTATTTACATTGAACCTTATGGGAAAATTTGATTTGGGTCGCGACCAATTCGGGTCGCAACCAGAGTCGCGGAACGAATTACTTTCGTGACCCGAGGTACCACTGTAAGTCTTTATCAAAAATAAAACAGAAGGTTAGGGCTAGACATTAGATTCATCAGTTGATGTGGATCAAACTTCTGTTAAAGAAACAAGAGCAGGCCAGACAACTCTTTGTCAGCTTGCTATTCTATTCTTCAGTTTTTTTAAGCAGGCTTTTTTTAATGATTCTGAAGCATAAAATAAAGCAAGTAGAGAGAATGAGGGAGAAATAGCAAGACGGACGGATGGATGGATGGATGGATGGATGGATGGATGGATGGATGGAAAAGGCAGAAAATTGGATAGATGTGGTGTGTACTATACGGAAGAGGCACAGTTATTTTTATTATCCTTAAACAGTTTGCAGAGTAGCAACGATGCCATTTTTTTCTGCCAGAAAATGCAAGGATCAGAGCTCCAGTGCGAATACATTTATATGCATGTGATGTACACCGCCACATGCTCCAAACCCAGCTGAGCTTTTTTAAAAAAAGCGACTAATTTTAGGTCATTCTTCTTGCACTGGTAGGCTTCAAGCCAATCATACAATAATCAGAACGTCTAGAGAGGGAATCATCCTAGGGTTAGGCTGAATTTTTGTTTACTGTGGTGAATATAGGCATGCAGGCACCATGAAGGAGCCTTTCAAGATGAGTTCAAGTCTGAGAAACAGCAGAGCTTTATGGAATGACGTATAATTGCTTTAGATTGATATCTTTCCTTGAAAATGGCAAATGCTCTGATTTAGGGATAGACTTTAATGCAGCTTGTGGATATAAGGAAAGGACAATGCTGGTCCTTGTGCTGCTTTATCATTACGTACATAACTTACAATGTAATTGCCTGATCTACTGGAGCAACCTTTCGCTTTAGAGGTTACAGAATATTATGCAGCAGGCTCAGGGCAGTAGATCTAGGAGGCAATTTACAACTTTAAATCCCTTAATTAAAAAAAAAGCCAAAACAAATAATGCTGCTTCAACAGAACAAAGAAACTTTCCTAAAAAAAGAGTTGTTATGATTCAAGATTCATATAAACATTGAGCCTACGCTTTTAGTAGCTGGGCAGGTTGGGTTGAGGACACAAATGTAGTCAACTCATACCTGCTCTCTCTATTCTTTATTGAGCAATGGTGACTGAGGCATTCAGATTCAGTCACATGTGAGGGTAATACTCTGTTTAATAAGGAACCTTATTTTACTGTTTTATCAGAATTTCCGATCATGCGAAGACGTCTACTCATCTTTCCTTTCTGCTCAGTGGGAACGATGGGAAGGCGGCCAGGGACAGTGCAAGGCTTGCATACGCATCCTTGCCTTCATTATCTTTTTAATCCTCCCATGTACAAATTCATTGTCACTACCCAAAAGAATTGATCCAACTCTCTGTCAAGTATATGGCAGATTCACCTTTAGATTTTGATGGCATTTACACAGTGGGGTAGCTCGCTGCTATAGTGACTCACGCTGACGATAGATGGAGTCATGCACGTCATGATTTAACACATCTTTGAAATCTCCCCACAAGAAACCTTCTGTTGAGTGGGAAGAAAAGGCACATGCTGCCAAAAGAAGAAAATTAGAAACAGAGCTGATGAAATATTGTACAGGGTAGGTGACATTTACAACTGCCCTTTTGAATTTCCTCTGGCAGCACAATGTATACAACACAATGTGACAGAATACATAATGGGCTATTTTAAACAGAGGTGACCGGACAGCACAGCACAATTAAGATGACTTTTAGTTACACTCTTTGGATGAGGAGAATGGAGTTTCTACTTTGGCTACCATTGGCTGGAAATGTTTGGTTCCAGCTAAAGGGATTCAGTAGAGAGATCACTGTAAGAAGTAAGAAATATAAAATAGTGGAAGAATACACGGGCTGAATGTAGAAGGTCTAGGTTATTGTCAAAATATCTAGTATGACTGAGATGGACTATGAGGTGAGCTAGATGGACCGATGGCATGGCTTTGAAAGAAGGTGATTGCATTCTCTCGTTTAATTAAGCCAAAATCATTTATTGAATAAGCCACAATTAGGGAGTTTCATACATTTATGATGTTTATTTACAAAATTGAGCTGAGCACCTGAAACCAAGTGGACTCTAGCCAGCTTACAGAATGTACCCAGTAAAAACGGTTCAAAATAAAATTTATTAAAATAGCAAGTAGAGATAAAAGATTAAAATTATAGAATTATGGAAAATAGTTCAGCTGGGTACTGTTGATTCCCAAAGGCATTCCAGAAGGGCCATGTTTTCACCTGCTTCTAGAAGGTCATGAAGGTGGGGTCCATCTGTGCTCCAGGAGGCAACTGTGAGTCCTAAGGTAGACCAGGTCAGGAAACAGACACTAAAAGAATTAGTGAAACTCTACTTGATTGTTGTAGGGTAAATTAACAGAATTCTGAAAACTGATCAGAGTTTCCCTCTGCCCCCTCTTATACTAAAGAGAATCAAGGCAAGGTTTTCTTGAATTTCTTTCTCCTTCTTCCTTCCCAGGGCTAAGCTGTTCTTTATGCAACTCTTCTTGCATTCCTTCTTCAAAGTTAGCTCTATACTCCCCTACAGCAACCTATACCAGAAGCTGCTACAGAGAACATTTGTTGTCAGGCTCCCTTATGCCATATCTTCTAGTAGGTGAGGAGTCTTAGCAGGTTCTTCATAGTTGTCCAGGTAGGATGAACAGAAACTATTGGGGAAAGATGGTCCATAAGATACCCAGGCTGCAAGCCATATGAAGCTTTATAGGTAGTGACCTCAAATGGCACTCAGAAACCTACTAGCCAACAGTGCAGCATCCACAGCAGAAGTGTAATGTGTCAGTAGCATAATTGACTACTAAGCATTCATGGACCAGGTGAGGTTTCCAAACTCTTTCCAGGTGGTCTTCAAGGACAGCCCCATGTAATCTAATCAAAAAATGATAGGGTCATGAGCTATTGTCTTCAGTGCATTCTGTTCCAGGTAAGGTTGCAGCTGGTGCACCAGCCAAGACTGTGCAAAAACCCTCCTCACCATAGTGTCCACCTGCTCTTTGAGCAGGAACCATGTGTCCAGGAAGATCCCTGCAAATCTGCTATTTCTGGGGGAGCACAATCTCATCAAAAGCCAGTCCTTGACTCAATCAGCCTCTGAATCAACAATACTCTATATTGTTAGGGTTGAGTCTGAACCTGTTTTTCTCCATCCAGATCCTAATAGCTTCCAGACATCTGGTCATGACAGCTACTGTACTTCCTAATTGGACCAAGGTATATAGCTAGGTATCATCTGCGTATCACCCTGAACTGGTGGATGACCTCTCCCAGTGTTTTCATGTAGCTTTTGAACAGGATAGGAGAAAGGACTGAACAATGAGGTAATTTGGGCATATCCTGGGAGTAAGGGAGCAATTTGTAATTCCTTGGGAGTCAAGAATCCAGTTTGGGACTGCCACTGCTGAGACACTTGGTAAAACAACAGAGTCTGACTTTGTTTGTTTGTTGGTTTGCTTGCTTTCTTGTTTTGTGAGGGTAATAACATTATTTGAGACTGGGAAAAGGGATAATTGGATCAGTTTAAGAAT